AATTTCTGTTTTCCCACTTGGGTCTGACAATAACTGAAGGTCCATGTATATATAATGACATCTCTCTGTTCTTCTAGACTATACACAGAGATGCGCAGGAGGAGGAGGAGGAGGAGAAGGGGTGAATCTCGAGTACACAGCGACGTGGATCGTCGCCGTTGTTTGTTCCATCATCATCCTAATCTCTCTCCTCGCTGAACGGTTGCTCCATTATCTCGGAAAGGTCAGAATTCTCGAACTCTTAGTATTAATTGTTCTTTTTTCTTCATGAACTACGAAGCCTGCAAGAACTACAGACACCTGTAAAAAATAGAAAACATCTCTAGTATTTAAGGTGTCACCACTATTTTAATCGAGCGCTTTCCATATCACCATCATTTTCACTCAACGTGCCTTGTTGTAGTTAACATCTCAGTATCGCTCTTGTTTACGCCATTATTCTCTCTTTAAATTGACAGTTCGATTGGGTACTTTTTTTCTTGTGTGTAGCTTCTGAAGAGGAAAGACCAGAAAGCCCTGTTCGAAGCTCTTTCGAAAGTGAAAGAGGGTCTGGTTTCTGTTCCATTCGTCGGTTTATTCCCCTGTTTTTTTAAGTCTGGATTGTGATGAATTGTTGTCGTAACGACAGAGTTGATGCTGTTGGGGTTCATCTCTCTTCTGCTGGTGGTGTTTCAAGGGGTTATTCAAGAGATATGCGTTCCCGAGAGCTGGCAGAGGCACATGACCCCTTGCAAGAGAGGGGATGAGTCTTCTCCTTCTGTGACCAAGCGTTATGCCGCGGCTTTCTTCTCCGGTGTCGGTGGCGGTGGCAGGAGATTGCTTTCCGGCGGCAGTGAAGAGGGGTCGGATCATTGTAAGAGAAAGGTTAGCTGTTCTTGTTGCACTTCAACCTTTGTGTTTGTGGATACCGTATCTTTTTATGAATTTTTTTTTTTGGGAAATTTGGGGGGTTTTGCACAAAGCCCCCAAAACTTATAACTTAGGACCCCCGGGCTTATATCACTAAATTACCTGACGGCTGTTCGTTTAATTTGTAACATGCATGCTCTGGATAATTTTGCCCATGTACAGTTACTAACTGCAGTATTCACCTCCTTCCCCTTTCCTAATTTTCATTAGGAGTTTATGCCTTTGACCCTTCAAATTAATACTATGAATGACAATTTTCAATATCTTCACGGTGCTTTTGTGTAATTTTTCGTGTTCAAGGGTTTTCTCTAAGTTACAAAGTTTAGGGGGTTTTTATGCATAGCAAGGCAAAGTTCAGGAGGTTTTTTCTGAAACTTTCCCTTTTTTTTCTGTGGCTGCTGGAAATTTTGACCTCAATGTTTAGGAGTGTTATTTGAGTTTGAATTCAACTCACCAACCAAAACACTGTTCCACCATCCCAAAACACTGTTCCACCAACTCTTTTGAAAGCTATAAATAGAGGAGAGTGGTGAAGGGTTAGAGCATCGAACAGAAATTCAGAATAGAGAGAAGAAAGAGAGATTTGAAGAGGAAAGAAAAAGAGAATTTTATTTTAGTGTTCTCTTCTTTGTGTGAGTTTGATGAGACATTAGAGTGATCTCCCTTTGTAATCTTCTCTTTTGTAATTAGTGAAGTTCTCTGATGTTCTCGTCCGTGGACGTAGATCATACTGACCGAACCACGTTAGATCCTTATGTGCTGTTCTCTTTGTCTTCACTGTGTTTATTAAGTCTTGTTATTCTCCACTCTTGTTTAGACATCTTCAGCCCCCCGCTGCAATAAGGGGGATGTATATAATGTGTTTTGTCTTGAATGTTATCCTATACTACGTATTGCATTTTGCAGAATTTGATATATCTGTGTGATATTTTTTCAAAGACCAGTAAAAATTTTAAGTTCAATGTCTACGAGGGGATGTTTACAATGTGTTGTAATCTAAGGGGATACTTACAACGTGTTTTGTCCTAAATGCTATCCTTTACTATGTACTGAATCCCTTTTGTGTGTATTGGTAATATCTAATACTTTATGGCCTCCTAATCCTATTGCATATCTATGATTCCCTTTATTATTATTACTATTATTATTACGGGTTCGTTTTTATTTATTTATTTATTTATTTATTTTATTTTATTTGCTCCGGGGGGTGGGGGTGCTCCAGGCAGGAGCTTTATGTATAAGAATTTCAGATAGCCAAAATATATTTTCACGACCCAACCCCAAAATATTGAAATTCCAACTACATCCTAAAAACTTTATTTCTTTGAAGAACACATCTTAGTTCATAGTAATCAATGAAGGTATATTTGAAAAGTAGTTTGGATAACATCATAGAGTAGTTGGTCCGCTAAGAGAGAAATCAAATTCTTAAAAGTTCAACCTAGAATGATGTACGTAGTTATTCATTGCTAGGACATGATCGAAATCAGTATAATTATCAACTTTCTAGATCATCTCCTTAAAAGAATGGAGCAGATCCTCGAATCATCTCGACTTGCTATTTATCGGTGGCAAATGAATAGGTCTAACATATTTAACATGAAGCTCATTCAATCACAGAGAAACTCTGCAAGCTCTAGTAGATATGTTAACCGATAACCGATAAAGACAGTTGCAGTCTTCTCTGAGGTACAACTATTCAAAGTAACAAGTGGCGTTCTATTCGTATTGACTATCTGCTAAGTATTCTTGTATAAATATTGATGAAACATCATCTTGTGTCAGAAACATTCCAGCATTCAAAGTTATTAGTTCATTTCTCATTTCCAGGGAAAAGTTCCATTGTTATCCCTTGAAGCCATCCATAGCCTGCACATCTTTATCTTCGCTCTGGCGGTAACTCATGTGGTTCTCAGTGTTCTTACTATGCTTTTTGGAGTGGCAAAGGTAAATTGGCGACTCTTATGTTTTTAATCATTTTTGTATCCATTTATGCTATGAATGGTCAAAGTTTGATTGCCTCAACAACAATATCTAACTGTAAAATTTTATCTGCATTAGGTACGGCAGTGGAAGCCGTGGGAAGATGCGATTCAGAAAGATGTAAAGGAAAGTGGTATGACTAATTTCATTTTCAGCGTCGCAATATTTTTAAGTTAATTTGTTATTTATCTATAGTTCTCTAAATCAACTTACTGTGACATGCAGATCCAAATAAAATCACCCATCTGCATCAATCTGAATTCATCAGGGATCGCTTCCATGGTGTTGAAGATGTATCCATGATTATGGGTTGGCTGGTGAGTGCCGGCATTTTTGTATAAGACTCAGGTTGAAACACCTTGACCAAGTTGAATATTACTGCAATTTAACTGGAACTTCTAACTAGCCATATGCAATATGCGTACAGAAGCTATGAACATAAAAAATATGTTCTGTGCTGGATCTTTATTAAGAAAGTACATTAAAACTTGATATAGAAAATATTATAAATGGAAAAGAAAATTATAGATAATTAACTCAGTTCTGTAATCTAAGCACAGAAAGATCTATCATATTGTATTGACCTGTATTTCAGACAATTAAATTAAAACTAATTTCTCTCAAAATTATAAACAAAAGAAGGATAGTGTTTTCGATCTTATGTAAGCATTTAGTAAGCCATACAAGGAGGAGACAAGAAATGAGGGAAAAGAAATATCATCCAAATAAAACAAGAAAATCTGTAAAACACATCTTAACTTCCTGGAAATGATCACAAATAATTTTAATTGAGTAACTTGTTTTGCATATTGCAGCATTCTTTTTTTAAGCAGTTCTATGGATCTGTTTCTAAGTCAGACTACTCTGCAATGAGACTGGGTTTTATCCAGGTAAATGAGAGGTTAATCGCTAGATTGATCAACTCATTTAGGTTACTTCAGCTTTTGCATGTGTTTTAATACTAAAGTATAATTTTTATTCCTCTATAATTTAAAGATCTCTTTTGCAGACACATTGCAAAGGGAACCCAAAATTTGATTTTCACAGGTACATGTTACGAGCTCTTGAAGCCGACTTTAAGAAAGTCGTTGGTATAAGGTATCATTATCAAAACAGGAATACTTGCTTGTATTAAAGCGCTAAATTGCAAGAAAACTTTTAGTCTACCTAAACTTATGATCTTTAGAAAAGATTGAATATTTTCTTTTAATATCGTCATCTTCACAGTCATCATTATTGAAGTTTAATTTGCTTGAATTGCAGTTGGTATCTATGGATATTTGTGGTCATTTTCTTGCTGCTGAATGTTAATGGTAAGTAAGATATAAATCCATTGATTGTGCAAAAATAACCGCAGTGATCTATTGTCCTGTTTTTGCTTGTTTAATCAGTAAATTTGAATATCAGTTCTCTCTTAAAATTGTTCAAAAATATATGACCAAGTGCTTCCATTGTTATTTCAAAGAAAAAGAAGTTTGTTCGTATTGGGAGTTTTAGATACATAATAAACGTCTACTAATGTGAGTGGAGAGTAAAGAAAATCATGTCTCACTTGAAGAGTTATACTGCATGAAAAATATCTGACCGCATGCAACAACGCAGAATTTCTCATGTCACAATTTGTTGAAATTTTGAAAGTCATTGAAGAGAAAATAAAATATAGAAGAAAAGAACAGAGAGTCTTTTCCTCAAGCTTAAACTGTGTCATGTCTAAAGTTTTTTTTAATAATCCACGATCCTCAGGTTATACCACCTGCTACACGAAAAACTGTCGATTCATAGATTTTCAATGAACTGTGAACTGTATATGCTGTCAATTAATTAGTAATTAGAATGGACCATACTCAAATAGCGAGGGGTTCATTCTATTAAGTTTCGTAAACTAGTTTGTTCATGTACTTGGAAGACTTAGATTAATGATTGTCTGCAGTCTGCATTGTGCTTAATGTGATGCATTGTCAGTGTCGATTTTGCTTATTATGCCCTTTTAACAGTAGTTAACCTAATTTACTAGATTAACAAAGTATGTTTTCTTTGCCAACAACAATTGGGTTCCTTAATTAGAATATTCAGTGTGCTAGAATATGAATCATGCGCAATTATAAAGATTAGAAAACCTATTCTTGAGAGATTTATATAACTCTTTTTAGAAACAATAAGCGTAAATTTCCATATGATGCTTCCTAATATTACTTCCTTTTACATATGTACACCACTTTCTTATAACACACGACATTAGTTACAGAACAAGAAATCCGACCGACAAGCCTAGCTACTTACTTCCTCTTGATTAATAAATGACTTTTGTGGTTTTCAATTGACAATATAAAGTTTATTCATTCAATGTACTTTTTTGTTTTCTAGTTACTACTTTCTCATAATTTGGACATTAAATTTGATCAGTTGTATTGTACTTCTCATGGTTTGTATTTCTTTCTGTAGGGTGGCATGCATATTTTTGGATATCATTTGTTCCTTTAGTTGTAAGTATGCGTAACTTCAGTCTTCAGTTAACACTAGAATAACTTATAGTTTAACTGCTGAGCTACATACTTATTATTTGGATGCATAAATTACTCATAACACTATCTAAAATAGCATGGCAAAATCATTTTCCATTATGACACAGGATTTAAACATCATTTCACAAATTTGAGAGTTGAATAATTATATGATGCTAATGTGCAGATTCTACTTGTTGTTGGCGCAAAGTTGGAGCATATCATCAGTCAATTGGCTCATGAGATTGCTGAGAAGCACTCTGCCATTGAAGGAGATGTGGCAGTTAAACCTTCAGACGATCATTTTTGGTTTCATCGTCCAAGAATCGTGCTCTTCTTGATTCACTTCATACTTTTCCAAAATGCCTTTGAGATTGCATTTTTCTTCTGGATATTGGTAATTATCTTCAAACACTTAGCTTGTCTGCTAAACCCGCGAGAGCTTAATTCTTTTAGCAAACCACTTTCTTGATATTCCATATTTATTTTGTTGTGATGATTAACCATCTCATTATCTTGCACTTTTTTCTTGAGGACAAGATAAATCAGGTCAAAGTTTTACTTGTGAAGGCTAATACTCATGGTATCAATTTTCTATTTCAAAAACATTATGTTAAGTGAAAGATAAATTAAATAAAAAATGTAAATCCTTCATTACTAGACATTTTTTACTTCAGGACCAGACTGAATTCCTAAATTGACTTGAAATTCTGTGTTACTTTGATAATGTTTGACGTACGAAATTTCAAACGGGTGTTCAGCAAGTTCAAATTTGGATTCTGCCTTCAGCGTCTTTCTTTCTTCTTTAGGGACCTTTCATAAATTTAATATTGTGTTCAAAGATATTATTATTTTCGAAGAAATAGTTGGATCAAATTTAATAACTTCGAGACTCGGTCCCTCCTGCATATCCAAGGAACAGTTTCTTCAAAATCTCTTGAAAGTTCTGATATAATCATAGTCCTTTTGTATCACAGACGACATTCACCTTCGATTCCTGTATAATGGGGCAAGTTGGCTATGTCATCCCCAGACTTGTAATGAGGTAAGGAGAAGGTTCTTCCTTCATTATATTCGACTTATTTAAGAAAAAAAACTGACATTTTTCATTCTATATCCAAAAAAATTCTTCACATTAATCAAATTTTCTTATGTCTATTTTAGTGTTATTACACAGTTCCTCTGCAGCTATAGCACCCTCCCTCTCTATGCTGTCGTAGCACAGGTAATTTGGACATATTTCCTCTTCCTTTTATGTGTGGGTAAATTTCATTCAACCCCTGTAAAGTTTGTCGCATTTTTTAGATTATCGCCCTGCGTTTTATAAATGTCACTTGACCCTCCTAATTCTTGGTAGAGTTAAAATTTGAAGGGGTTATGAGAAATTTACCCTTCAGTTTTCCTTGAAGAAACAAGTGGATATAAAACTGATATCTTCTTCTTCCTCTTCGAGTAAGATGGGGAGCTCATTCAAGGAAGTCATATTTGAGGAACATGTGAAAGCAAGCATTGTAGGCTGGAGGCAGAACGCGAAGAAGCGAAAAGCGAGGAGGGTGATGAGCACTGAAGAGAGCAGATCAGAGGCCATCGAATCAGCGGGTGAGTCTTTGCGTAATGTGCTTTCTCAAGCGCGCAGCGATTCTCTGATGGAAGAGGGGGAGGCTGATCGCATTGAAGAGGTTGCTCAGCGTGCACGAGCACATGTACTCCAGGTCTTGTGATCCTTTTGTTCGTTCACGACGAGCTAGCATTTGTCGCACGTGCGTATGCACGTGCGAAAGGTGGAGAATTTCATGAACAATTGTAGCATTTTTTTTCTCCCCTAGTCCTTAGATTTATCCAGTGTAATAGCATGCAATGTGATAGATATTCAAGTAGTAGACTTTAATTACATAATCATGTCCTGGAAAAAGTGAAGACAAAGGGGGAAAGAAAATAAAACGGAAAAGTATCTATATGTAATTGGAATAAAAGATATGTCCAAAATTTTCATTACTCCCAGCACTTCCTTATATGATAGTATAGACGTGACTGGTATAAATGTGTGATTTCTTTCAAAGACTTTTTTATATAATAGTATAGATAGTATAGAAGAGCCTATTAGCTCAATATATTCCTCAATGAATTATATGGATGTAAAAATTGTTTTGCTGAAAAATATTGTTAAAAAGTAATTAAGGGGAATATCATATAGATGAGGAAATTTTAACTAAAAAAATCATTATATTAGTTCTATTTAAAAAAGTCACATCATGGACTTGAATGTTGAATCGTACGTCTCCGTACCCAATCTTTATGTTTAAAAAATATTTGAACATATTGTCAGGACAAGACACTTTAAAAAACAACATTAAGTAGTGATAACTGTACACAACAATTTGTATTATTTGTATACAAACAAAAACAAAAGAGTGCGCTATATAGTTTTCTTGGCAATTTTCAAGAAAGGAACCTACGCAATTGTTGATACGAGTAGAAAGGTAGTATATAAATTGTAGTACAATTATCATTTTCCGTGAACATTGCCCTGCATGAGGTAATATAATGAATGCACTTATATAGATTGAGGAGATACAGGGGCGGAGCCTGGGGGCAGAGGGTGGCCATGGCCCCCGTGGATTTTGGCTACTAATATGCATGTTAGTCCTTATATCTTTCACATATTCAGATTAGCACACCTACTCTCCAAATTAGTTGTTTGATATTTCAACTCTTAGGTAGTTTCTAATTTAATTCCCTTAATAGCTACAATTATTCTTAATTGGAGGGGCTAATTCCAAAATAGCTTAGTATAAATTTTAAATATTTGAGGGATTTCTTCAAAATATGAAAGATTTAATGGGATAATATTGAAAAAAAAATTATTCAAATTAATCTCCACTGAACTCATTTCTTGGGTGTTGTGAGTTTGTATTTTGGTCAAGAGAGCTGAAATTCTCAATTTCTCATGATTAGCATTTGAATGGTATTTTTATTCCATGCTTCTTTTTATCCGAAGTTGTTGCAATCTGCAATGAGTTTCTATTTAATTTTTCATGTAAATTGTTTAATAGTAGTACTATGAGATAAGGTTATATTTTCATGTGGTTTCTACATCTTATGTTGGCATTGTGAGTACGGTTCTTCCAATTTCATTAAGTTTTAAATGAATAAATAATTTATGAACTTGTATAATTTACAAAATATTAACAATCCATTAGGTGTTTGAAAGCATTAAAACTTGAAGTTTATGATTAAGAAGAATCAACTACAATTAGTACATTGAGAAAAAAGACTTTCAGAAAATGGGAGCATGTTGATTCATGATGGCTAAATATGTTGAAATGATTCGAGTATTCATGATTTTTTTTAAACTACTACCCTAGATTGTTTTTTCACCTACTTACATATGTATGATAATTTATTATGTACTGTCATTTTATTGCTTTTTTAGTAATATGGTATCATTATTGTGCTTTGGCGCCCCTAGAAAGAAAATCTTGGCATTGCCACTGAGGAGATTGCTGCAAATTTATAGAGAATGTATAAAATATTTGAAATTCTACCAGTAAATTTTAAGCATTTCTACAAAGATCCAGAAATGGGATAGAATATAGTGGAAAGGTGATGTGGCGTGCTTATCTGACATCAATTATAATGAGTTGGTCATAATTAACATCGTCTTTAGTAATGTCATCACCATCAAGATGACAACATTGGATTATAAAGATCCGACATAATAGAAGCAATTCACATGATTGGATTTTTTTATTTTTAATTTTCAATACATGCTACACAGAGATGAATATGCCAGCTTTCAATTTTGTCACAATTCCAAAAATTAAAACTTATAAAGAAGAAAATGAGAGTTATTTCTAAAAATTTGAGACTCTTTTTTCAGTTAAATGAATGAAAGATTAGTATTTGCTTTTTTTCTTTTTTAGCTTTTTGGTGACCTTTGGTTGTCTATTTTGTGATCTATAATCTTCTAGCACGTTATAGAAAATGTTTGTGATGAAGATTAAAATAAATTTTTTAAAATTTTTAAAATTTCTCTCGACTTACCATTATTGTTGCCTACAATTATTGAAGGCGAGTAAGAACACGCAACTCCGGCTACTAAGGCTGGAGCACAAGACAGCAACATTCGAACTCAGGTTGCTCTAATACTATCTTAAGTTAAATCTCTCCAACCATTACACTAAAACTCCGAAGCTATAGTGAAGCTATAGTGAGAGTCAACGATTATGATTTTATATTGATTCTAACAGAGAGCAGCATACAATGGTGACAAGGATAGGAGAAGGGTACGAAATGATCTAGTGACAAGGATAGGATAGGAGTATGAGATGATCTGAGAGGAGCACGAGATGATCTGGTGACGAGGATAAGGGGAAAATAGGGGTTGAAAAAAAATTAGTGAAAAAAGATGATGTATGATAGAGCGAGGAAGTCTATAAGCGACTACTATTAGATACTTGTAGGCTGTCTAAAAACTCACAATAGATAATTGATCCCTATCAAACACTGACAATGGAAGTTACAACCTGACGACTTCCACATCAACAACTCAACAACGAAAGTTACAAATAGATGACTTTCACGGCGGCAAATGAAGGCTACAATTGGAAGATTTTCACGTAGATCGAGAAAGGTTACGATTCGACGACCTTCGTGACAATCGATGAAAGCTCTGATTCAACAGTCTTCACAATCAACAGTGAGAGTTACAATCTGACGACTCTCACATTTCAAAGAGCTAAGGTGAAGATTATAGAACAATGATCTTTGCAACGCTCTGATGTAAGGGATTACAAGTTCATAATCTCTCTAATCCAAAAACACAGAGCTCACCTTTACGTTTTAGATTCCAAACGCAGCACGACCACTGCGTTTCAGCCTTAGGCATATGCCCAACTCTGCGTCTCAGGTCTAAGACGCAGAGTTCGGGCCCAGAACACCAATTTTAGCATTTGACTCGTTCAAACACGAGCAGAACGGTTCCAAAACCGTTTTCCCTACGTTTTGAGGGATTCTCGCCCATTTAGGAGCAGTTTAAGGGGTAATTTGTAACCTCTTATCCCCCTATAAATAGCAGAAAACTTAACAGAGTTAATGATTTATTTTTAAACAGAAAAAAGAGGGATCGACATTTTTGCAGAGGAGATCAATCTTTGGAGATCGATCTTTTTAGGAATTAAGATTTTGAAGATCAGCACTTGGAGATCTTGAAGCATTATTCAGTAACAGAAATCTTGGAATTGTTATCCTTGGCTTATTAATCGATTTTTGGTTCAAATCAACTCTTTCACAGAGTTTTAAACTTTTTCTGAGTTCCTAAACTCATCTTCTATTCAACTTGTCACGCTAGTTCTCCTCAACATCAAATCAAAGAGGAATAGACTTTGTTCCAACGAGGTGAAACGTCAGATCGTTAACGAGAAGCAAACTCTACACGAGTTTCGAGGGAGGCATCTCATCAACACCAAGAAGAACCCAGGTTAAACAAAGGGAAAGATCTCTGTCGACTCTTCTCTCTTTTGTAAATCAAAAAACCGACCGAGAAGATTTATAATTTCTTTTCTAAGTCTGTTAGAAAGAAGTTGTATCGAAAGAATTGTAATTAATTCTTTTTGAGTCTGTCAGAGAGAATAATACAAATTTAATTCTCAATTGTCTTCTTCAAATTTTTCCACCAAATAAAAGATGGCGACTCCGCTAGGGACTAGCTTCATAGACGAAAAAGTGGTGGCGCAATCTGACATTAACCTCATTGGAACAACGGCCAAGACTCTCGTCGTGGAATTCGACCAAGCCAAGTACGAAGAGGTATTTTTCTCTGGATCTCTTAGCCCCAAGGCTATGCGCAAGGTCCGTGTGGTCTCCAAAAAGACCGAAATTATTGCTAAATCATCAAAGGAGACCCTCCCCTTTGTATTGCATGGCTCAGACAGCCCCTCCTCTGAAGGAGTGTACTCAGCCTCTGTTTGACTCGTCAAATGAGTCGAAGGTCCCATGGCCGCGTCAAATTGATGTATATCGGGTCAGAAGAAGCCTGTTGCCACGACAAGCTCTGTCGATGCAGATGACCTTGCTACAAAGGCCTTAAGACAGGCTAAGAAGAATGCCGCTCGACGGAGGATAATATCCTTGCGACGAGCCCATCTCCGAGAGAGCCGATCTCTCAATCAACATGAACTCCGTGTTTGTGAGCCTCAACTTGGGTGATGCATTGATGAGCCCAAGTACGAGCCTCGTATGATCAATCCAAAATGTAGCCATCAGGGGCATGTTCCAAAATCAAAACGCAGCCTTCAGGGATGCGTTTCAACAACTAAACGTAGTCCTCAAGGATGCGTTTTCACATCAAAATGCAGATCTCAGGAGTGCATTCAAGATCCAAAATGCAGACCTCAGGACTATGTTAACCAACAAAAACGTAACCTGCAAGGGTGTGTTTCACCAACAAAACGCGAACTTCGGTCTAGCGTTAGTCAAACAGAACACGACCCTCGTGTTCCTTCTTCCGAACGCGATGTGATCCCCTATGTCCAAAGAGATCAACGTGGATTCAAGATTCATATTCAACAAGAACTAGTCCCGTCCACTGATGGGCAGGGGGTTCCATCTCCAACCTCATGTTCTGTGAGAAAATCTCCCTAGGTATCTGATTTAAGGGAGTTGCTTTCAAGAGAAAGACCAGTACAACGAGCCGTTCATTCATGTCATTGTGAGCGACTTATCTCTGCAGTCTTCTCAGAATGCTCATGCTACACTTCCGAACCAAGACGGTCAGTGTTTGACCAATTAACAAACGTCACCCGACCTGCCAAGCGACGATGACACTACAAGAAGAAGACTTCAGAGACCGAATATCATGTGGTTACTATCAATGTGATCGGCAGAGGGAAAGCCTCAGCTTCTAGCTCTGATGACTCAAGTCGTTCGTCGACCTTCAGAGAAATC